TAAGGCTGCGTACACACTAGGCGTTTTTAAACGCGCGTTTGACGAACCAAGAGTTCTGCATAGGCGTACACACTCAAACGTGCGCTTTTGGCCAAGCGCACGTTTATAGATTTTTCTTAAAACGCGCATTTTGCGGGCATCAGCTGAGCGCTTTGAGATATATGTGCTGCCATGTTACTGTACATTCGATCGTGCGTTTTCGGGTAGAGTGGACGTACGTTGGCCGAAATGGAGAACGATCATTTCGATACTGATCTATTTATTGATGAAATCTAAAAGAGACCAACCATTGTCAAAGGATTTTATAGATATTTTAAAAGAATTAAAAAACTTGAATTTATTTTGTCTTAGTTTTGGATACAATGTCGCAAACATTCCATGTGTCAAGTCTATCTCATAATATTGGGTGCAACCAAAATTCTCTTTGCCTCTGCCATCATCTTTTATAGCGATGATGGAGGAGGAGCACACAAGCAATTACTTTCACATCCATTTCCAAACTGAGCCAGTGCATATGCTCCACTAAATGCTCGTCTAATGCCGAGCTAACGCCTGGTGTGTACACTGCTAATGTGCATTTAATGCAATGCAAAATGCCTAGTGTGTACACAGCCTTAGACTAACTATATTTTGTTAAATTTTGTAAACTTAGTAATGACAAAAATTAGTTTACTAAACATAAAAAGTTCAGTCATCCAGTATTGGAAAATTACTAATTTAATAAGGTATTTTTGATCACTACAAACACTGGTGCAGTGTCTTTATTTTAACCCCTTAAGCCCATAACCCGAGATATCTCGGGCAAGTTACATAACGTTACATAAAATGAGGTCCTTAAGGCCATTTTTGAAAAAATTTTTTTTTTTGCTTTATTTTGTGCTCAAAATATACAAAAAAAATCATTTTCTGGTCCTTCTGAAGACACCTCAGCTCCCCTCTCATTTATTTCCACTTGAAATTACAATAAACTATTCTACTGCAAAATTTAGAAGGTTTCCTATGGGAGAAGGATTAAGAACATTGTTCCATAAACAAAACAACAGATGCTCTTGAAATTTAGCATGTAAAGAGAAGATAATGAAATTCAGTAATTGTTTTACAACAAAAAATTAGCAACAGATTGCATGAAATTATGTTAAAGTATTCTGTTTTGTAATTTTAACCTTTTCTAAAAATAAACAAATTAGAAAACAGACAAATAAAGTCATATGCACTTCATATATGAATGAAATAAGAAAAATGTGGACAATGAAGTTCAGAAAATGCATATATTTCCAATTTTTAAAGGCTCATTAAATTCTCATTAAAAAAGTACATTTTTAAAATTACAATTGTAACCAGGGCTGTGGAGTCGGAGCTGTGATGTTTTAGCCGGAGTCGGAGTCGTCAAAAAATCCACCGACTCAGACTCCTTTTTACTTACCAACCTGTTATGTATATAAAACGGAAAAGTATCGGAATCATGTCAAATTTCACCCACCAAGTTTTTTTTTGAAAATCTACGCATTTGGAGACCTCCCGAACCCCTCAATAAAGTCAATAAAGGGAAAAATTAGCGCATGTGTGTTGGCGTCTAATTTGTTTAATTTCTTTATTTTCTGTTCTGAGATATTAAACAATATCTCAGAACGGATAAAGTTTAAGNATTTATCACTAATGATTTGCTTTATTGCTTACATAAAAATTATAATTATCAAAATATTTTTTTTTTTCCTTTCTTGGGGTCAAGTCAATAAATGTTTCAATTCATTAACTAGCTGAATGATCAACTTTGTAAGTAAACTATATTTTAAGAGTTATGTTGATAAATTATATATATTATTCAATAATTTCTATAAATTTCAGCAGATTAAATTAAGATTTCATAACTTGTAATTTTTATTGAATCATCATTTTTTTTTGCTTAAAAGAAACATTCAATTTCCTGAAACAAAATTAAAATTAGTTAAAAGTAGTATAGAAATATATTTCCTTTTACTGAAGTAAAAGAATTTTTCTAACACAAAATCTTTATTTCCAGTTTATCTGTCACAAAAGTGTAACATTTAAAGTTATGTATTTTTTACTTTATATTAAAATATTTTTTTCCTGTTTTAATCTTAAAATAAAAAACATAGCTTACCTATTTTTAAAGATAATGGAATACATTTTGAGCTTTCTGAACTATAACACCATTTATTTATTGAATCTGTCAAACCTTTCATTTTTCGTGAGTCATTTAATTTTTGTACCCAGAAATTTGAAGGATTTTGTATATGAGTAACAAATACATTGTCTTCTTTTACTACAAATTAAAAATAAATCAACAAGTAAGTTTGAACATTTTATAGAGATATCAATTTTAGTTATAGATTTAGATATTATTGATACATTTTCTTTTGGAATTCTTATTTACTTATATAAATACTGCTAAAATAAAATTAGCTTTAATACAAAAATAAAGAAAATTTAACTATAACAACATTTTTAAAAAGACTATTAATTTTGAACTCTCTCTTAAAATAAATTTTTTCTTCTTTAAATGAAAATTTAATTCTAGAGTTTGATCTTCACTCAACAATAATTATTTTGTTACTTTTTACTTTAATGAACTATGTATGATAAATATTCATTTTTTTGTCAGTAGAGATTATATTACATAAATACTGTAACATAGCCCAATCTAATCTGGCAATTGTTTGGCTTTAATATACCTATTGGGCTTACAATGCTTATATTTGTAGAGATTATAGCAATATTGATCATTTTTAGTTTTTCTTTTTCCATATATTCCTTTTTCTACTTACAACTTATATTCAATCCAATAATTATTGAATGCGTCATCATTTTTATATTGTTTGCTGAAATAAGAACATATTTGAAAAGTTAAATTAATTGAACTTACTAGTTTTACTACTATTTGGCTTCTGAGATAAAACTGAGATGTCAGGTATATCTTCCGAAAATGATTCAGATCGAGAAGTAACTGATTCTGTATCTAAACACATATCATAAATTTTATTCTATTAAACCATATTGAAAATAATAATCACAATAATAAAAAATCTATGTTAAATATATTTATTTACAACTTTATCATTAATCAAATCATTTTATAAAATATATGTTAAGTGAACAACATAAAAAAATACTTCTTTAATTTTTAAAAATGCACTCATGCATTTACTTTAAGAATTAAAATAAATTTTATTTTTTTAAATTATTATATAGATGAAAAAATTAATTTTTAAAATATTTTTATTTCATTAGTTAATTATATGTTTGGTTTAATATTGTACAAAACTATATTATGACTATACAAATCTAAACAAAAACATCTGAGATATAAAAAAAATTACACCAAGTAAAAATTTATGACAATTTAGATGACTGTCAAAATTTTTGTTAGCAGTTTTTCTTTGGTAAAAATAAGTTCGGCACTTAAAGCAAAATGTAAGATAAATACAGGTAAAAATCTTGTAGGTATCACTTCCAAGCACCAAGCTTATCTTTACCAAAGGAAAACTGCTAAGAAAAATTGACTGGTGTCTAAATTGTCATAAATTTTTACTTGACAATTTTTTTTATATCTCAGATGGTTGTTTGGATATCAATTGTTTTTGTTTAATAATTGTATTATTATGTCAAGACATAAGACAATGACATACAATTCAGTTGGGACTTGACGACTGAATGTGCAGCAGACCAAATATGCCACCAACCAAACACTTTCAATATTCATTTCAGTCAGTGTCAATTAAAAGTGCTGTCAACTGACTTTCAAATGCCATTTAGAAAAATTGTTATAAAAAGTTTTAATTTGCATAAATTTGAGCTTTTGTAATTTTGAATAACATTTTGAATAAAATTCATTTGTTTCCATGCAATTTTATCTTTATGAGCATTAAATTAAACCATAAAACTGAATTCGCTCTACAGGAAACCCCTGTAAACTTTGACCTACCGACCTGAAAGTTTTTTGAGCACCTCACTGTAACGAGAAAGGCTTAAGTTTAAATTTGAGCGTTCTAGACCCAGAAGGTTTTTCTCTACCAGCATCTGTAATGATAGAAGAAGAAAAAGAAGAAAAACATGAAGGAGAAGGAGAAGAAGAAAATACAGCTATTTTGACAATTTTGCACTTAATGAATTGAATTGCTTATATTTTGACAACCACATTACAGAAAATCTTGAAATTTTGCACACTACCTAAGAAAACAATTTTCTTTTGAATGAGATATTTGGAATTACTTCAGGTGTTGGGGGCAGAGAAATTAATTCCCAAAAATTGGCAACTCTGATTCCTACATAGGTAGTCAGTCAGTGACATTTTACTTAGTGGGTAAATAGTACTTAGTGATTTATCTGGAGTCACTGTCATGACTCCTGATAAATCATGCTAATTTTAGGCTTTCTAAAATTAACAGTGATTTGTTTATAAAAAATTATTGTATTTGTGCTCTGTCAGACTGACAGAGCACAAATACAATACAGATGGCCCTCAACTTTCACACATAATTAGTTCCTGAAGTGTGTACAAATGTTGAATTTTCAAAAGTAGAGGAATGTAAAAAAATATGCACCAAAAACTAAAGTATTTATTTATCAATATGTATACATAATGAAGTTAATGAGGCTGCGTTTAAGTGCTTTCGGGTGTTTTTTTTATAAACTTATTAAGAGTTAGTTGAATACCATTATTTTTTCTTTTCTTGATACAGATTTCTATAACATGCTGTGTCTTTCTCAATCACCCTACATACTTGAGATATATGTTCTCCATTGGGATCACATTCTTCCATGATAGTCAAAAATTTGTCAAGATGCATGAAGGCTTCATTCATATTTTTAATTGTCAAAGTCTTGATGTTTTTATCAGCTTCTTCTTCCTCACTTTCATTGTATATTTCATTGTTGCTCAATTAAGTATTCATTTGACAGAGGTACTGAGTGAGATTCAATCAACTCATTAACATCTTCATTGTTGACGTCCAAGTTTAGTTCATTCATTAGGCTAACTATTTCATCTGTCATAGTTTCCAGTGTTTCTTCAAAATTTATAAAATCACTCATCATTTGCAGGCATAATTGTTTCCAGGAACCTTTCGTTGTTGACTCTTTTATTTCAGCCCAAGAGTCTCCAATAAGAATTTTGCTAGACTTTTGAATGGTTTTTTTTATGTTGTTAATTTTTAGTCTCCAGTAAGCAAGTATATATTTATTTGCTACTTTACCACATAATTTTACACAACAACAGTTACTTCAGGATTTAAATCTCATAAACCAACCCTTGCTTCCCAAAAAAGTTTCTTCACTTCCATCTATCTTAAGGTCCTTAAGATTATCGAAAATTGATTTTGCTTTTTCAGTTATAGCAGAGTCAAGGGAATGTTTTTTGATTTGCATCATCCACCCATAACAATAACAATATTTCCATTTTTTCAAAAATTTTACCTCTACTGTAACTCACGTTTTACATTTACTGCCATAGACTGTTGAGCAGTGTTTAATTTTTATCTGCATTTTTCATAATGGTAGTAGTAACAGTCAATGGAGGTAAGTTCAAAGATCTACAGACATTAGGGCATGTTTGTCCATTTTCCATTCATCAAAAAAACTTCAATTTTTTTCTAGGGAGATAGATTGTCGTGCCTTCTTAACATGTTTAGATAATTCTGGTGCATTTCTTTTATCTGAGATAATAACTCTCCTTTATTCTTGTATATGTGGGTACCTAAACATTTAGTATTTTAATATTTTTATTTATCTTAATATTATTACTATAACATTTACATGCAGTGGCATTACAGGAGTGGAGTTCCAGATACAGAAATTTATCCGACTTTTGGAGAAAGGTTTTTATCCACTAGCACTTTCAGTAGTACAAATAAATTTCCATATCCGAAACTCCACTCCTGTAACACCACTGCATGTAAGTGTTATAGTAATAGTATACATCAGCGTGAAGTGCAAACTTATTATATCTTAATATTAATTCAAGGTACAGTGGTACCTCAGGATACAAAATTAATCCGTTCCAAAACTGAGATTGTATCATGAAAATGTCGTAAGGTGAATAATTTTTCCTTATACGATTACATGTAAAACCAAATAATTCATTCCAACATGAATAACACACTCAAATTAAAGCCAAGTAGTACATTAAAAAAAATAATAAATATAGTAAGGAAACACTGAAAAATGCATGTTGTAGTTGTACATCTATAAATAACCATAATAGAATAATAATTAATTAAAGAAATGTAGTTTTATGCACTTTACCTTTGAGGATAGATGACGGTGGAAGTGTAAACTGGTGGCAGAAGAGAGAGAGAAGGGAAATGATACTAAAACTTAACTTACATAACATAATGTAACAATAATTTAAAAATAACTTAGAAAAGATAAAAGATAAAGATAAAAAAATAGTGTTGTTTTATATATATAACAGCGCTGTCCAACTTATCATAGCCCGCGGGCCATATTTTCTTTACCAAACATTTCGGGGGCCAAGAAGGTTGGTGATGGCTAATTGGTCGGCCGGGAATCACGCCACATGACATTTGCATAGTGCTACGGTTCAGTAAGCACTAATTGGTCAGCGAGTCCGATGTTGACGCTATAAAAAGGCGTCAACATTTATGTTTATGTTCAGAGTCCGCTTGTGGGTTTGCGCCTCACCAACAAGCAGGCCATATGAAGTGTTTTGAGTTTCTTCATGGTTATGTTACCGCTAAAGCTCGGAAACTCGTTAATCTGCAGATTACCTGTTCGACACACCGGATATATGTCACTCTCGTCTAAGTTCGACTTGGGAATTTTTTTGTTCAATAATAAATGTGAATTCTTCTTCCTGGAAAAAATAAGACATTCCCTGAAAATAAGACCTAGCGCATTTTTCAGAGCAAAAATTAATATAAGACACTGTCTTATTTTCGGGGAAACACGGTAGTNTATATTTTTTAATTTTTATTCACTGCATTTTGCTTTCTTTCCTTCACTTCCACCAGCACTTTCACTGGATAGAGGTCGCTTGGTAAAATATCTATCCAAAGAAATTTGGCTTTACCTACTTTTTAAAATGTTTCTAAAATAACTTAGGCAAATGTCATTACTCTGAACAGAGGTGAATAAAAAATGGCGCTGCGAACTAATGTAACGTCGTATGGTGAGTTTTTGTTCGTATCATGGAACAAAAATATGTTCGAATTTCATGTCATATCCTGAAAATTTTGTATGCTGGGGTGTTCGTATCCTGAGGTACCACTGTAAATGTATACCCAATAATATTAAACAGAAAAAATAAATATATTCAATAAAAATCTTAGTTTTAATGAATGTACAACGTCACATCTCAGTAAATATGTTGACACTGAAACAAAAATCAGTCTATCATAGGAAAAATCGGGGAATTACATGGCAAAACAGCAAATTGCACAGTGGTGTTATTGTGAATCAGCGTAAACCTAGGGCTACCTATATATCAAGTAAGTTGGAAACTTGTTGCCAAAACTAAGAAGAAAAAAAATTTTATTTAAAGATGATAATAAATCAATCAGGATAATATGCATCATCCTTAAGTATGACTGAAGATCAATATTCAAAATGCTTTTGAATGCCCAGCTTGAAGAAAGATGGTTCCTTAAAAGCAAAAAGTTGTCCCCCTTGTTTTTTGTTGCTCCTGATCCAGACAGCATTTGACCATCAAGATGATTCTGCAGAGACCAAAACAGGTAAAAATTGATTGAGGGCAAGGTGCTGGAAAAATAATCAACAAGTTCCCAGCTGATGCATGTAGTAAATCATCATCTTACTTGTATGTTATTTAGCATTATAATAATGGGCAAATGTGGTAATCCTTGCACCAGGTTGTTGAGCATATTGCAGTAACTGTCACTGTCAGTTGTTCTGTTAATTAGCAACATATAATGATGGTAAATGATACCTTCATGTCTCAGAATACACACAATAGAATCTTCTTATTGCTCAAAGCTCATTTAGACTTAGTAGGTAATCATTTGCCAGGCATGACATAGCCACCTCAGGTAGTTAGATTGTCATAGTAAATCAACTTCTTGTCATAGGTCACAAAGCAATCAAAGAAGAGGCAGTTCTGGTACCAATTCAGCAGTGATGTGCATTTGGATGTTCAGTCATAATGTTCATACATAATGAATATCCAGTACCTACTTTCCAGTTGAATGTTTAAAGCCTAGCTACTTCAGTGCCACAAACTGTTGACTAAGCAATGCTCAGTTCAGAAACTCTCTCTTTCTAGGTGATCCAGGTATCCTCAACAAATTGCTACCTAACCAGATTGTCATCAATCTCCAGACATGGTTTGTCTATGGTGTTGTCTCCAAATGTGAACTGAGCAAACCAATATTTGACAATACATTCAGATGGCTGACTGTCACCATAAACTTTTGTTATATTTTCAACAATCAGTTTCACAGAAAATCCAAGTCAAAATTCAAAGACTATCTTTTTTCATTGATTTTAACTATGGAAACTTTTTGAAATTTACACAGACTCAAAATACAATTTTGTTATACCTCTTTTGAAACTGTTTTGAGCTACTAGTTGGAAAAAAAAATTTTAATTTTTACTCTAACACTGCCAGCAGGCATTTTTGCAAATGCTTTTTTTAAACAACAATAATGTTTTAATTAATTTGATATCTAAAAACTTATAACTTAGACTAATTAGTCAATTTTTCTTATATTTTAATAATAATTTAATATAAAATTTGTTTAATGTATGATATTGACTATAAATAGCATCATATAGTAAAAAATATAAGAATTTTCTGATTTAAAATATTAACTCTTACCAATATCAACATACTGTTAATATAGCAGCAAACTGTGTGAAAGCATTGTTTTTACTCCATATACAGTAATACCTCGACTTACGCAAACCCGAAGTTACACGATTTTCGAATCTCGTCGATTCGTCTTTTGTTTGAGCGCCACGCAACTCTTGATTACTCACTCCCCTCATACTATTGTTTAGCTTATATGTTTGGATGTGTCGCGTGAAATCGACACATAGCTACAATTTTTTTTACGGTTTTTATTTCTGTGTTTGTTATACTTACAGAGACTTGAGAGACTCTATGTGGTAATTCCTTGTAACCGTGAACAAATCAAAAGACGAGATAAGATTAACGAGAACATTTATTAGTTTACATACATCTGACATGGATTTTACACAAATTATGAAATTATACCCCGACTTACGCGAATTCGACTTACATGGTTATCGCTCGGTCCCACCTATCGTGTAAGTTCGGGGTATTACTGTACAGTACCTAAATTCCACTTTGTACATGTTTGTAAGCATCAAATTTAATGGTGATAAAATTGTTTGGGGAAGGAGATGCTTTAAAGCTACCTGTACTAGTGTAGCATTCATTACAAACATAAAAGCAAGGTTTGTATGTATTATAAACATAACTATTGATGATACTAGATAGTAAAATCTGTAAAATTGAACAGCAGCCCAAATTAAATTTTAGATTTAAAATGTTTAAACTAATGCATGTTTTTAAACAGGAAGTTAAAACACTTATTTTAGTAAATAAAATGTCTTAGGACAGAAAGTTGAAATATGATGATTAAATTGATAGGTTTCAATTAGAGTAGAAACTCCATTAGTCACAATTCAATCACCTAAGCATTCAAAAAATTAGGGTGTTAGTATTCAAGGTCATAAAAAATTTGTAGATTTCATGCAAATAAATCTTAAATAATCTAGTAATACAAGATATAAAAACAGCCATTACAGCTTAGTTTTGGGTAAAAGAACTATGTACTCATATCTCTCTCTCCAATTTCCATTTTGCTTTCATATAGAAAAGATGGCTACTAAGTGGAATATCTTGTATTATTCTTAAAGCAAAAAATTATGTAATGGATTAAAGTAAACATTAAAAAACTTTTTATTGAATTTGTGCTATAAAATAAATGAAACTTTAGTTTCTATACTATTACTATAAATATAAATTCTATTATCCAAGATGTTCAGGACACATCCCTCCCATCAGTGACACAGTTAATGGAGTTTCTATTTTGTAGAAATAATTATTATTATTTAACTATAAAAGCAATTTAAAGTTAAGGTTCAACTAAATTTTCCACTAACCTGTAGGAATCTCTTCAATGATATCATCCTCAAATCCAGGTGGTATTTCAGATTCATTTCTTAATGTATATCTGAAAAATTATGAGTATATATCATAAATGTTAAATGCAATTAAAAATCAAAACATTTAAGCCATTATAAGATACATAGTCTTTTCTTTTCTGCTTCTATTAACCTTCATTTACAATTTGATTTCTTGTAGTAATTAAATATTAAGATGAATCAATACACTAAAATACTTTATTTTAAAGGAAAAACAGCTTTTTAAATAGATACAGCATATTTAAACTAAGTATGGCTCTAAAACTGAAGATAAATGCTTTTTATTTAAATTTTTTTCTAGGTTATATATTTAAAAATAAATAAATTTTTAAATATTAAAAAATCAGCCTTTTATTTTATTCATCTCAATATTTCCAATCATTTGTTTAAAAAGCTTACTTTTGTTAGTTTCATTTTTAATAATTAAAATCAGAAGAAAATGAAACTTTATAAATGCTTTTTTCCTACAATTTATCAAAAATACAATACTTTTGATAATACTTGAACAACCCCATATAATAAATTGCCTTCAGGAAATTCTGAAAATTCATTATAACTTATGGAAAACTTGTTAAAAAGTGAATGATTTGGTTTAATGAAACACAGCAATGCAACATTCAGACAGTGAGCAATCTGCCAAAAGGAAATGCCTCCTGAGAAGACTTTGTAAGAAACTGGCCCCTATTTAGACATTAAACACAGGAAGAAAACCTGGAAAACTCCAAATTGCCAGTCTGTTGGTGAGATGCAAACTCACAACCAACTACTGGTGTTCAGTTGTGGTTCCATTCAGCTACTGACGAGCAAATACTAAAGAAGTATCATGAGTAAAAAGAAAACACGGTATATAGAATGTTTAATAATGTTTAGTTTTTTCATAAAATACCCTTATAATCATATTAGTAATACAATAAAGTGTTATGCATTTTACACAAAATAAATCAAAAGAATATGTAGTAGTTTTGAATAAAATTCAGAATAAAAAATGTTATGATTAAAATAATAAGTAATCTTACATATGCATGTTGAAAAACAGTCAATACTTTTCACTTGCATTCTTTTTATTTTTTATCAAAAACTATTTTACTTCCAGTCAAAGATTATAACGTTATTTAAACAATCAAAAAATTAATTCAGAACATTTTCACAATGATTGAAACTGTTTCTTACAGTTTTGAATATATCAAAAAATATTATTTTAAACTATACTCTTATACAGATGTTTCCAACTTGTTTTTGATTATATTACAGTATGAGTATTGTCCTGTACCAACAGTTGCAAAAATTTATCAATATTTTAACCAATTTTAACATTTACCAAGAAAATAATTATAGCTGTATTCATTAGGCTACTTAATATTTCATTAGGCTATTCAATATATACCCAAGAAAATAAGATTCTTTTATTCATCCTAGAAAAGTTTTTATACCAAAGCTAAACTTCATTAAGTAACAAGAATTTTAAAAGGTTAAGAAAGAAATATATATGTATTTTTAGCAATCAAAAGAAATTTGTAACACAGTAAAACATCACCAAGTTAAACTGCACTAATTTGAAGTTGCATTAACATAAAACTACCAGCAGGTCCCCGGCACAGTTTAAGGTTTTCCATATAATATGATCTTGTTAAAAGGCCCTCTTAGTGTCCATTAGGCAAAGAAAAACAATACAAAAAAACAAAAAACTAAAATGTTGAAATGTTAATGAAATGAAAATAAAAGAAAAAATGGAAATATGAAAGTCAAACACATTAGATTTTTAAGTAAGTCTTATGCCGTTACTTAAAAATCTAATGCTGTAACAGTCTGTTATGCTATGTTATTTTTCCAATAAAATAAAAGCTTAGTAAATAAAACTATTATATACATACTTTGGTGTAATAAATGCTTCAATTTTACCATAGGATTTTATCATATCTTGAAAATCTGGATTGAAATGAATTCTGAAAATATTAATTTTTATATAATTATAAAAAAGTAACATTTAAATTAAGAAAATTATTACAAACAAATAAATTATATTTATTTTTTATTAATAAATAAATAAATAAGCTTATAAAACAGATATAAATTCACTTAGTACATAAATTAATCATCATCTAACATTAATTTATAAAAATTAGATATTTATTTGGAAGTACTGCACAAAAATTAAAAAAGATTACACTATTTATTTTTTAATAAAAATAATTATGATCATATTAAGCAAGAAGTGTTTCCTATAATGAAAGATTATTATTATTATTTAATATTATAAACAAATTATAGACAAATGATTGCAAGATTACATTGTGCCATATTAATGCTACTAATTAAACTTATCAAAAAATGGCAGATGGCACCTAACACCTACCTCTAAGCCAAATTATTTGACTTTTAACTATTAATTAGTGGCATTAACTTATTATAATATGCTACTTGTCTAGTTTAAAATGTATTGGTAAGCTCTATAATGGCCTCTTTATTTCTAGACTTATGATTTGGTGTAGGAAATATGTCAATGTAAGTTACATTAAGATCTAAATGCTAGTGATGGTTTAACTTATTTGATGTAAAAAAGCTGAAGAGAGACTGTAAGTCCAAAATGCATACTATTAAAAATAAATTGATATACAGGTAACCCCTGTATAACATGGGAGTTACGTTCCAAAAAATTGCTGCTTTATGCGAATCCATGTTATATGAAACAAAGAACTAGTGCAAAAAGGGGGGGTTAGGTTCCAAAAATTAAAAAACATGTTGTTAAATCCTTATTTAAATTGGATTTATTATTAATTTTTGTCATAGGTAAAATATTTATTATTTAAGTAGATATTTTACCAGAGGATTATTCATTTTATATGATGATCTCAGCATGAGCATCATCAACTGGTAACAGTTTGTGGGTGCATTCGTTAATAGTGGTCACTCTGCAACGGGAGTGCGCTGCTGTTTGTAGGCATTCAGGAACGACGGTGAAAGAAAGATGGCGGTGCCTGCACTATCGATAGTATCGTGTGGAGGAATATATAATTCTAAAATGAGCTTTCAGAGGCAAAAGAAGGGTCCCAATTGTAAAATTTAACCATTAAATGGATTATTTGTTGAAAGAGCATTCAAAGTAGTCATGAAAACAATTAGAATGCCCACGTGGAGCAGAGCCATAACTAGGGTATGGCCAATGTGGCTCCCACCATAGGCGCCAATTTAATAAAGGTGCCAACGAAAAGGTTTCGGAATATGTATTTGAAATTAATAACAAAAAAAATTTTTATATTCATATTTATATAGTATTTAAATGTCATTAAATAATTTTTTAGAATAAAATTATTATTTTTTTAATAATAAAAATTAAAAAGGCGTCATTTTTATTCTTGGCCATAGGTGTCCAAAATCCTAGTTACGGCTCTGGCGTGGAGTTATAAAAGAACGTACCCTTTATTACATTTTATGTTGTACGAGGGTTTTACCCAATTCCCAAACTGTGTTAGAGTGAACCCATGCTATAAAAGCACCGTGTTATATGGGGGATGTTCCCAATTCTCGAACTGTGTTAGAGTGAATCCGTGCTATAGAAGTGCCGTGTTATATGAGGGTTACCTGTATTGAGGCTGGTCTGTCTGATGATGGTGTGATAAGTCTAGAAATAAAGAGGCCATTATAGTGCTCACCAATACAAGCATTAAATTAGTCCAATATAATCTGGCAATTATTTGGCTTTACTTTAAGAATTAGGCTTATACATTTTTATATTCATATATAAACAAATTATATTCTGAATGATAAATATGTATATAATAAGACCTATATTCATACTTTTTTTTAGAAAAGTATTATTTTAAAATTCTTTTAACTGTAGATCAGTAAGAAAACTAAAAAATAATATTTTTTCTTGAAATGGATTTGCTTTGATTTTATTAAGTTTTCATTTGGTATCAAATGTACACTACACACAAAAGCCTACTGCAACTTTCTTTAAAAACATGAAGTAAAAACTTATTTTGTACACACCCACAGATGGAAAAGTACCCCACAGAATGATAACAAAAAGTTCAACCCTGTAAGTTGTTCCTTTTGTTATAACCATACTCTGATGTTCTATTGTGCAACCTCATAGGTTGCATATGACAGAAAAGTAAAAATTGGCCAAATAGCATAAAGCCTAAACAACCAGAAATATGGAAAGTTCCCTTTCAGCAAATGGTGAGTCATGTGACACAAAACAGACTTTGAGAGATCAACATTCCAATCTCTCAATAATCACTTATGATGCTGTGTATTACTTTTAATAAGTTGTTTTAATAAGAAACCAATTTGACTGAATATTACCACTAAAATACAATCTTGAAAACAGTATTATTGTTAAATTTCAAAATAAAAACTTTATAAAATATTAAATAAAAATAAAAATTTAACAAAATATAAAGTAACTGATATCTACAGAATATTCCTATTGAAATAGTAGATCAATTCTACATATCAATTTAAAACAAACCATATATATAATTAAGTTAAAAAGTATAAAAACACAAGCAAAAATTCTTAACTTGCTACAATTACATATCTGATCACATTTACATATGAAACATGAAATTTTAAACTTCTTTTCAGTTTTCAGTGTGAAAATTCTCACAAATTTTTATTTCAAACAACATATTTATTTGATAAAAACACTGAAGTTTTTTCCTATTTTTATTACTAGAAATATCACATTTAAACTATTAAAAAATGCTTCAAATATGTAAAGTTTAGAAAATCCTAAATTCTCAGAAAATTTTATATTTTAGTCTGATTAGCAATTCTAAATATAAAATCAAAACAATGATCCAATAATTTTATTTATTATTTTGAAAATAAAAAGTTTTTAATATATAAACCCAAGTTGTTAGGAAATAAACATACACATAAAAAATACTAAATGTAAATATACTAACTTTACTTCATCTGTTTGTTCTGTTGTTACTGGTACAAGGTAGCATGGCAACTCTTTAACAGAAAGAAGTTTTTTTACAACATCAACAATATTCATTGAAATTAAACTATTTTCCATTGCTTGTTCTGCATCTATAGTTAAAAACATTTAAAATAAATACTAATTATAATTTATTTTATCACACTGATTAGCATTTCAAATTCAATTTTTATATACTTTTTTAAATATTCAAAGACCTAAATCATTGAATGTTGTAATTTTATAATGACATGACAGATGAGATATTTGTCTGATTCATAGATTAGCTACTGAATTTTTCAAACCTTAAAAAGCTTGAAAATTTTAGCACACTGTTGAGAAAAATTACATGTTTATTACATTTATATCACATAATAGTTCTTAAATAAACATATAAATATATCTCTTTATCTAAATAATATCTGCCTCAGCGATCATTAAAGATAAATATCTACTCACTCCTTAACTACTATTGAACATTAAATATATATTTTTCTTGTCCTGTCCTTGATCTTATCAAACCATAAAATTTTTTATTTTGCCATTTATTATAATTTACATGTTAAAACTATTTACTAATTCTTTAATTAAAAGATTTATCAGCATAATAATAAAGTATCAAACATATTTTATATATCAAACATATATATATATATGTTTGATATATATATATATATATATTCTTATACATATACAGGTAGCCCTCGGATTATGCTGGTTCAATTTACGCCGATTCACAATAACGCCACTTCGCAATTCGCCGTTTTGAAGTAATTCCCCAATTTTCCGCATGCTAGACTCATTTTTATTTCAGTGTTGACGTACAGTGGAACCCCAGTTAACGAACGTCCTGGTTAACAACCAAATCGGTTAACGAACTTTTATTTTGCAAAAATTTTCTCTCGGATAACGAACGTAACGGTATTTTGTGTCAACTTTTAGTTGGTGTTAGGCATGCGCGAGTTAAGCCTTGCTTTTCCGAGTGTTTGTACTATACTTCTTTTTTCAGTTTTGTGATTTATATATTTAATCAATATGGCATCAAAGAAAGAAAAAAGTCATAGTGGCAATAGAAAACAACAGCACAATATAAACGACAATACGCTATCGCATTTGAGAAAAATTTTGATTAAAAGAGTAAGATAATCAACTTTAGATCAATTTCTTGTTCCTTACGGAAAGAGTTTGTTTGTTAAGTTATGGCAACGCAACACTTGGGCGATCTGCCTAGAGGGAATGCCTTCTGGGAAGTGTTTTTAAGGGAAACTGACCCCTATTTAGGCCTTAAAGGCGTGGAGAAAACCCTGAAAACTCAATGTGGCCAGCCTGTCTGAGCGAGGTGAAAACCCACGAACGAACTCCCCGTGTTCAAGATGCGAAGACCACTTAGCACTGGTGGGTTTTTTTTACCGAAAGAGACTTTGACTCGCAGAATCTTCCGATGAAGTGCTACCCATTATTTTTTGGAGGGGATTCCCCTTCTAAGCATTAAGGTTCGTATATCTCTACTTTTCTGCCACCAACTACAACAAACAAAGGTATGTACACTGCTAGTTTATTAAACTAAGTTTACATGTTTGTTGCTGTAATGATAAATACTACATTTTCCTACATTTTCATCAAAGAAAATTACTGTATATTACAAATAAAATGACAAAAATTTCGGAGACTAGAACGGATTAATTGAATTTGCATTAATTTCTATGGGAAAAATTGCTTCGGTTAACAAACAATTCAGTTAACGAACGGAGTCGCGGAACGGATTAAGTTCGTTAACCGGAGTTCCACTGTATTTACCAAGCCGCGACAATGTACAGTACATTAGTTAAAACAAAGATTTTTATTGAATATACTGTATTTATTTTTTCTGTTTAATATTATTGGGTATTATACATTTGCATTAAATTAGTATTAAAATACTAAATGTTTACGTACCCATGAGTCAAGATATTAAACTTAATAGTCCAATAAATGGCGTCCGAATCCATAGTGCCAATGAATGTATCCCATATCAGTTCATTCAGGAAAACACCTTACGAAGCAATAGCACTTCCGGCGATCACAAACTATCATTAGTGAGACAAATCTACTTCTCGTTGGCCAGACGATATTTATCTCTCCTTAGCCACCTTGAATTTTCCCACTTAAATTGACCTTATATATGTGCTACGGCAACCGGTGGTCGACCAATCAGTGTCTTCGCTCGTCTGTAGCTCTACGTCGGGTTAACATATCTTTTCAACTAAGAAAAGTTTGACGGATGAACTTTGTGAGTTAGACAATGATTGGAAGCAAAGTGCAAATGTAAAAAGGAGCATCATATTCAACCATATTCCAAAATTCTCAATGAAAGAAAACAAAAGTGTAAACAATTAAAGATGGATACTTTTTTCGAAAAATGTAAGAGATCCAAAACTAAAATTTTTTAATAAAAACATTTCACTTTATTTTATGATAAAATACATTTTAAAAATTAAATTTATCTGTATTTTGTATGATATTGTATTAATAAACAAAATTATTTGCTGATTTTTCACTTATATAGAACCTAACCCTATACCTCACTGTAAATATGGGTTCGTTTTACGCCGATTCGATTTGCGCCAGCTTTTGTTGGAACTGAACTGCGGCGTAAACCGAGGGCTACCTGTGTGTGTGTGTGTGTGTGTGTGTGTGTGTGTGTGTGAATAGAATGCAAATTTAGAAGTCAAAAAACAAATTTTTTTGTACAATCTAAAATTGATAATGAATTAAAATTATCAATTATTATTTGATACCTTATTTGTATAATTAAAATGTAGTTCTGAATAAATCTTTACCTTGTAAAACTGATGATAATTCTTTATGATGTTGAGAAATTGTATGATGCTAAAAAAATTAAATGATTAGTTAGTTATCTTATAGAAAATTATTATATAAAAAATTAATTCAATCATCATTTTCTTAAATTTTTCTTTTAATAATTATATTAAAGTAAATTTTCCTCATTATTTATTGCTTTTTAAAAAATATTCAATAAATGCAAAGAAATTTATGTTTCTTTGCATTTATTGAATATTTTTTTAAAAGTTTTATTACCGAACAGACTATCTTGTGTAAAATTTTCTATAATCTGCAAAATTAAATCTTCAGTAGAATAGTATAGTAGAATCCATTTATTCTAATCCTTTCAAAATTTGCCTAAATACTATAGACATTGCGGCCAAAGTTCAAACTTTAAACTTGTACAGCAAACAGAAGTACATGTTTGATGTTTGAACTCCAAGCAAAACAAGCTGGGCCATACATTCATGTCATGCACTGACTCATGGGATATTGTTCAAAAATGGTGGAAACATTTAACAACAACAAAGGTTACCAGAAAAAGTAAATAAACAAGTTAAACTATTTTAAAATATTTAGAGGATATTTAATAACACTAAATAATTATTTTTGACTTTAATCAGTGTCATGTCTCCTACCATACAATATAATATTAGAAAAATTCCAATGCATTGTGCATGTTCTTATGACATAGTTTTGCTGAGGGAAGTTGTGGCTTATATAAACCCAAAAGCAGCTTGGGAAATTATTTTTAGAAATTTACAAATGTATTATACTGTTGATGGCAGAAGATGCCATGAAAGAAGAAACCTACTTCTACAGTATTATGATAAGCTATTAGGAACACAAACACACAAAAATTCTATAGGCATGTCACATCACTTGCAAAAAACTTCTGGATTAAAATCATCTATTTTTTACAATGTTATTCATAAATGCTTAAATAATCATTATTTTAATAAAATATGTCATAATTTTAACCCAAAACACAGAAAAATGCAGATATTTAAGCCAAACTTCTAATTGCCATACTCAGTGTTCCAAATGCCACTGTCAAACTTATAGGCTTACAAGATGGTGGTGTTCGACATTCACATTTTAGAGATGAAAACTTTGGCCGTAACCTCTCTACTAACATCATAATCATACTGATAACATTAAGCAGGAATTACAATTAATGGAAATTCTGGTTTTATTGACTGACATTAAAATGAAATGTTAAACACTTTTAAAAAATGTGTAACTTGAAAATTTCTTAATTATATTATTACTTATAATTAATTCATCTAGTGCTATTTGCTTTTTGGTTTATGCAGTATTGTCTTTATCCACGATTACATATAATAGTGGTGATTAAAGCCAGACTATCTGCTAAATTTAATCAAAAATCAGGTTTGTGGAGTTGCTGTTTATATAAATTTTCCATATCTATTAATTTTTGTGGAATTTTTTGGCAAAGTGACTTACTTAGCTGTGCTTCCATGATATCCTCATGCTGCATGTTATCCAACTGACTAAATTAACAAAATTTAATATAATTTACAAATTAAATATGAATAATTACCATGTATTCTAATTTCTCTAAATTTTGATTGGAGATTTCTTCAAGTTGTGATATCAGTTCAATCTCCCTAGAAAAAAAAACAATTAAAATTTATAGAATTACTAGAATTGAAAGGGATGAAAAAAGAAGGATTGCTTGGTTTTCAATAAATTTGCATAAGCACCTGTCCTTCAGAAAAAGTGATATTGAGGTCCACGAAATGAGCATTCAAAAGGCTTTCTTGATCTAATTTTAAAGTTAAACTATACCTGTTGTCATCCTACAGGCTTGTCATCCTAAATATTAATGAGATACTACAGGCTTTTAAGCCTGTAGGATATCATTAATATTTCGTTTAGCCTTCCAGATAATTAAAACATCGTCAACATAACATTTGTAAAGTATAATGTTATGTTTAAATTTCTGCAAAGTTTTAGATTCAAAACTACAAACCAACTTGCATAAGTCCCCTGAAATGGGGCTACCCATGGAACCCCCGAGTACTGGTAATAAACATGATTGTTAAATTTAGAAAAAAAATGTAAAACATAAAATGTGCATTAGTTCCAAGATCTCCCAGTGGTGAAACTGTGCCAAGCCAAAGGCATTGAATTAAACAAGAAATCTGAGTACACAAAAACAGAGCTCTATACTAACAGAAGGATACATTGAAACAAACTCAAAGACAGATATATATTCACTATCCATTATGGAAATTTTTCAAATTCTTTAATTAATTCATTCACTCTAGCTATGGAGTGTTCTTAACCTTTCAGGTGCTGCACTAAGATCTGATGTATGCCTCTCTCCATAATAGTAAATGTTAAATATTATAAAAATTCTGATACAATTTAATCAAAAATTTATGTAAATTTATCTTTAACAATAAATTCTTACCTTAATTGTAAGAGAGAGTGCAACATGTGGAATTGTTCATATACTTGATTCAATAGTTTGTTTGAAACAGTGTTACTTTCTGGTAATAGTCTTGCTATATACTAAAAATATATAATATTAAATGATAAATTTGTTCTATAACATAACAATTTTTAAATCTTGAATGTTAAGATTCAAAGCTTACTACAGAATTAAACATTTAGAAAATATTAATATTTTCAAATAATTAATATTTCCAAACTTACTTACTTAAATGCATATATACAGTACTTACATACAATAAAATTAACTAACATTAATTGATAATTTAAATGCTATATAATGACTAAATGATATGTTTAATAATAATAATTATAGTTAAAATCATGAAATTAGTTTCAAAAGGTTTGAGTTTGATGGAATACAGTAACATAACACATGGGCAATCTGCAAAGAGAGAAAAACCTTTCAGGAGTATTTTCTATGAAAAACTGACTCCTATTTGTGTGTTAGAGAAAACCTGAAAAACTCCATATGGCCAGCCTGCTGGTAGTCGGGCACAAACCCACAATCAACTGTGACTGAGAAATTTTATCCCCTCAACCACTGGTAAGAACATAAGTTCCAAAAAACTGTGTTGAAAATAATACATCATTGTTGATTAATATATAAAAGTAGTTTAAAATTGATTTTTAATTATTATAAAACAGAAAAAATAATAATCAAATAGCCTATCTCCAAACCTATAACCGATGTGAAAGAATTTCAATCGCAAACGTTTTCGGACACCACTGTATCCTTCTTCAGGCAATGTTCTATTCGTAACACATCGTTACTGCCCGTTGTCTTTGGAACGCCTTTCAAAAATGTTCTTATTTCGAGTTCCGTTGGGCATCACGTGCTTTTTCAAACCGAAATCTCAGTATCCACGTAACGATCTTTTATTCGTACGATAGAATTACGTAATTTTCGAATAAATTTGTTTTAGCGTGTCATANGTTACGAATAGAACATTGCCTGAAGAAGGATACAGTGGTGTCCGAAAACGTTTGCGATTGAAATTCTTTCACATCGGTTATAGGTTTGGAGATAAGTTATTTTTATATTGTTCCGGTGTGCGTTAGTGGTTTATTTATAATCAAATAGCCATATTAGACTTAAATAGGAAGTCAAAAGCATAAACAAATCAAACAGAAATCATATTTGAATCATTAATTTTCATTAAAAAAATATATGTTACTACAGAATTAAACATTAATAATCTAAAATGTAAAAAAGTCATTTAATGATAAAAAGTTAGTGGAATGGAACATTGTTCACACTGGTAACATGATTCCACTCACTTTTTGACTGCTGAACAGACTTTACAAACTCTGGTTGGATGTTTTTTCTTTTCTGTTGCTGGTATGTGGCTGGGAAAATGACATTTGGATAAACATAATGGTTTTTGTGTGACGGTTGACCACAGCAGGTTACATGTCTGATTGTGTGAAACTTTTCCATCACTTCTCTAATAACAGACATATGAAAATCAAGAAATGATATCTATTTTTTTTGTATGTTGGCAATACAAAGCACAAGCATTATATAATGCAATATCCAGCACATGAAAAAACACTTTTTGTACCATTTCACCATTTTTCTCATGCACAGATAATTGCGTATCACTCAATCACACAGATCAATTCCCCCATATTTCAATTATATTCTAAAACACAATTTGGCTTCATTATTATATCTCCTGATCTATTACGTTTACCAGAATATGAGAATTCGTTGTTATTCATCGTACTTAGAATTGTCACATCCCTCATCTCTCCAACAAAACACAGACAAACCATCTTTCTGACAGGTCATAAATTCACCTTCCTTCAATTTACAGGAAAATTGCATGACATTCCAATTTAATTTTTGTTTACAGTTCCACATACATATGTTTGTTTATCCAGAAGCGTGACTAATGTTGGTGAGGTGAAAAACCTGTCTAAAAAAACTTGTAATTCTTACCAACACTTCTAATAAGGTAAGCACAACTTTCTCACCTTGCCCACCTTCAAAATTTCCATATTCTGTCGTATCTCCCGCGTAAACTAAAAAGTCCCAAACATATTCTGTATGTGATTCACAAATTTCAAAGCTTTTTATGCCAAAATAAGCACACTTGCTAGGTATATACTGTCAAAATCCCAGCTTGTCTTTCCATAACATAAGACTTTCATCTACACACATTTTCATCTGGGATGTAAGCATATTTGAACCTATGGCAAAAATTATCACTAACACTGTGCAATTTATGCAGTTTATCATCACCATCCAAGGCTTGATTATAGTCTGTAAAATGCAAACATGACAATAAAAGCAGAAAGCAGTTGCTCAACATTGCACTTGAAAAAAATGGTGTAGAAAAACATCTTCATTTGTAAAGTAATGTACATACCTAGGCACAGTTTTTCTAACCTGTCCTACGTTGTTCCCGAAAATATTCGTGTTGACCTCATTGACCTGCATGGGCGATCCTGAATATTTTTGTGTTTAAATCGAAACGTTTTTGATACTAGATGTCGCTATGCATCAATTTTTATATTAAAACAAACTTTTAAAATATAATTTTTTTTCTATATTATTCAATATATTTATTTTGTTTGTGAAACATAAAAAAATAATTTTTAATGATACAGTAAACACAATTATTATTTTTTAAAAAAATTTTTTAGGCTTAATTAATATCGACGAAAATTCAACATGGCGTCACAGGCAACAAATAAAAATTTCAACATCGAATAGGTTAATGATACTTGTGACCATAATAAGTCCTATGAATTCTCTAATTTCTGGATTTGTTGTCAGTTTCCAGTTTTTTTATACAACTATTTTCCCATAAATCATCACATTTCATCAAACTATCACCATACCTGTTCATTTCTTCAATGATCTTGTCTACAAGTTCATCATCAAAAATACACTAAAACAGTTGAATGGTGTAGCATCACTCTGTAAATTACACTAAATTCCTGCTTGTCCTGTGAAACTGTTGACTTGAGGGCTTGTAAAGTTCGTATGGATCCAACCATCATCACTACTAAAATGCAGATGTTTCACACTATTATTTCCACGAACAGGTCCGCATGATTGGCCTCTGCACCCACTTGTAGTTGGTATTTCTTGATCAATATCATTACTACCATCACTTACATTTTCATTTTGTATATACTCGTCATTACTGTCTGATAATTCAGACTCATCTGAACTTAAATTAAACAAACATTCAATCATTTCTGACTTATTCAGAGTGCTATTTCTCCCAGCCTTTGCCATGTTGAAGCAGAGTCTAACTAACGGTTTACTTTCCTTTCTTATTTCTTCTGAACAATAACTCCTATTGTTTTAATATCGTGCTGTGCAAAACTACATAGCATAATGATTCTTTTGATGAGAGTCACTAATTTCAGAATTCCATACATATAGTGACATCTAATGTTAAAAAAACATTCCTAAGCAGAAACAAGAAGTCTCGGGTCCACCACGCCAGGTCAGTAGGTCGCAACCTGAGATATGTCGGGAATAACACAGGACAGGTTAAAAAGTAGATATAATATTCTTGATTCTGTAAATGTTTAGTAATATAAGTAAATAAATAAATATTTTTAGCAATATCTTTGCCAGTTGTATCTAGTGAACTTTTCAGCTACATTTTGTGCAATATGACAACAGAAAGTATATTGCTGTCTTGAATTATTTGCTACACTATTTCTGTAAGAAAAATTATCACTTAATGGAAAATTATCTTCTAATTTCTAAATTTATAGTAATAAGTTGTTACTGGGAAAATGCTGAAATTAACAAATTCAGTATTTCAATCTCAAAACCAATTTTCAATCATTTTCATTGTACTTTTAAATGTCAAAAAATTTTGGAATGAGAGAATATCATCAGATAAATAAAATCGTATTGTTTAGGTCAATCTGGTAAAAATTTATAAACGACAAAATAAAATAACTGTTAGCCCTTAACTGGTTTTATAAATCTTACAATCATAACTGGTTTTGTGGGGGCTGTGCAGCCCCCAAGCAAAATTTGCCTCTAGAGAGCAATTTTGAACAACGTGACAGTTTGAAAGTGCATAAATGCTAAATGGAACTCTTGTTTAGTATAATCAACTCTTATATATTCATATAATTTTTTTTACTTAATTATTACAAGATATCACAAAATTGTTACAACTTTTGGTGTTTGTTTTTTTTAACAATACAAAAATCTACCCTATTGTAAGGTTTTAACAAAAATATTTTTTTTTCTTATTCTCAAGAAACTAGTCTTTCAAAATAGTAACTGTTATGGCCTCTAACTATCATTTGTTAAAAAACCACAGATAATATAATCACTTCTACTTTTAAGACTCAGGAACATTTTAACGAATTATGTAGTTCAGTCTTGACAGTTATCACATAGTATTTTTGCAGTACTATGAACTTTACAAACAAATTTCAAACAACTGTTGCACTTAGTAGCATATTTTCCATTTTCTTTAGCACAAAATGACAACATACTTATTTTAGGAGTTTTTGGCTTTGTGAGAATCGGGGTTTAAGCATCTAAGCTTAAACCGTTTTCCAACAACAGGAAGGTGAGTCCCGCTCACAGGGTCAGTGGATGGCAATTTAGGAGGACGAAAATCGAGTGGGAGGTCGCGGATAAGTCGATAAGGTGTTTGACCGAGTACGAGTAAACACACATGTTAGCATTTGTTAATTAAATATATATATAATTTAATTAACAAATGCTATATAAAAAGATTACAAATAATTAATAATACTACTAATTTCTAACCGAAGTTATAATAGGCAGTTAGCTGGCTTACAACTCGCATATTTCCGACAGAGGATATTCTCTGATCCTTATTACTATTTATTTTATTAATTAGTCCTAGTCCACCTGAGAGAAGGGAGAGAGTTCTACTTACTAAGTTGTAGATAGTCGAGCCTTTGCTTATATGTCCGTTGCCGGTGGTCAGTGTTGAAAGCAGTTAATCCGTTGCTTCTTGATATCTTGGAGGCCACACAGATAACTGGCCGGGAGCCCTCTTCATGCCAAATTTGAGGGGGTGAGAACTATGATATTATTGATGATTTATACGCACACCTGTTAGTGTGTTAATGTTTGGATCTAGCTAGTATGGACAACTGACTCAGAGAAGTTTGTTTAATTTATTGCTATTGGTGTCTAGAAGATATGATTTTATAATATAAATTTCTATAGGTTTGACGGATCTCATCCATAAATTAACATTCAGCTGACAATAATTTCTTTAACCTGGTCAACTATCTAGATNGCTCTCATCCATAAATTAACATTCAGCTGACAATAATTTCTTTAACCTGGTCAACTATCTAGATATTGTTTATATCAAACATTGCGTTTGACTACGAACGAGGCGATTTATTTCCGTAACCACGTGTTACATGCAACCAAAGAGGTGATAAGAAACATCTCTTATTCCAGTCTTGTTGATATTAACGTCTACAGAATTACCTTTAAACAAATGGAGGAGATTTCGTTTATTGATATTTTAACATTCCCCTTTTTTTCTTATTCGAGGAGAGTGTCTCGGTCATTGACCGCAGAGGTTCTCCTTTTTTCTCTTTTCAGAGAAAATTCCAAGGTTTATACTGTTTTAATTATTAAATCTCTAACTGCATTAATTAATTACTACATTCCACTATACCTTTAAAATGCAGTCTACTTTTGGCTAGTTCTCTAACGTTTTCGGTAAAAATATTCCATCACTGGTTTAAATAAAAGCATGTGTAAATATTACTGATGTATTTAATTGCAATTGAAATTTGAATTACCTCTAATTTTCTGTTAAAATATGTTTATATTAGCCAAATTTATGTGTGATAAATAAATAAATAAGTTATGTTAACATAATTAAATTTTTTTTGTGTGTACTTTAATTTTATATCAAAGATTGAAATTGTAATATATAGTAAAAATGAAGCAACTGTCAATATTTTGATGGTGTCATTAAGGGAGTTGCATGTTCTGCAGGATGTGATAACTTTTCTTTTCAATGTGATTAATTAAATATAACTTATTATTCAATCACAGTAATGGAGGTTTCTACTTTAATGCAAGATTCTTGTAATGGGTCATAAAACTTGTTCTAGATAGCGTGAAGAAGAGTAAGTGATGAAGTGATATGCAATGCAGTTCAACTTTGCAGTAGACTAGTTGTATTAAAAATCTCTCTCAAATATGACTCTTAGTTTAGATTTGTTATCTTTTCTTTCTACTATATATTTAATCATCAAATTTACTACTTTCATTTTATGAGATTTTATTGTTTTTTCATACTTTATCAAATAAAAATTAATAACTTGATAGAATCCATTTCTAAATTACAAACTTTATAATTTGATCAGTACATGAGATAGAAATTTTGAAATTCTCTTTATTCTCTTGACACTGTGATGTATTCTCAATTTTTGAGACTTCTTACAAAATGCTAAGATAAAAATTGCATTGTTGACCACCAAAATATGATATTATGTATTTTATTTTACAGATAATGAAAGAGTCCAAAGCCTCTACTGGTGTATCTAAGATTGCCAGCAAAGAAAAGAAAAATGCCAAAGATAAAGAAAATACTAAACATTCACAGAAAACATCTGTTGATGAACATTTAGTAAGAAACATACTTTTTTAAACTTTAATTATTAATCTTATAATGAAAATACTTATTAATTTAATGTATTGTTGTCTGTAATGTAATACTGTAATCTATGGTGATGTATTAAGATGTAATGCTTTTCTATTACAAACTTTCTGAAACATGTTTATAAGCTTATAGTTAAATTGAAAATATATAGTTATCATGAAAAAGTATTAGTTTATTAACAAATATGCAATTCAAAATAATTTATTCTTATTAGCAATAAGTAGTAATCAAGCAAATTATTTTTATTTATCTTTCAAACATGATGATGATGATGTTTTAAAATTAAAATAATGCATACTAAAACTTTTAATATTTAGAATTTTTATGTATTATAAGTTTTTATAATTATTTAAAATGTATATATTTTATATGCAGTTTTTCCTTAGTGTATATCTGTTTTGCATAAACATTTTTTGAAATCTTATTCTCTTCAGTTTTTTCATTGGCACCATTACCTAATTAACTTTGAAATAATTTACTTGTTTAAGATGACTTCTTAAGATTATACTAGAAGTGAATATTTTTAACCCTAATTGTATTTGGATTCAATGAAGCCACAAATAATACTTGATCCACTTTGGAGTCAATAGTGTTCTAGAAAGAATGTAATTTAATTTAAGCTGTCTTCAGAAATCTTGTTAGTTGTAGATGTTGGAGAAAGTTATCTCGTAGATGTAGAATAGACCCTCCTTATCCTTATATTTTCTCCCCCTTCCCATGAGATTTAAAAGATGTTTCCTGATAAGACATCTTTTCAGCTTTTCATAATACTGTCACATCATTTTATTGTCTTCTAGTAAAGGTTGCCATCAAAATTAAGACAAATTCCAAAAAATTATTAATACTTAAATCAGGATAAAGATATATTTCACATCTTGAATGATTCAAAACTTATAAAACATTGTTTGAAATAAATTGTAAGATGTAAGAAGACATTAAAAAATAATTGTTTATTTTTTTTATCATTTACTTTTTGCTAACTGTACTATTTTAATATTTCTATCAAATTAAACATTTATAAAAGTCTTAAATAATTTTTCATACAATTTATGTTATCTTAAATATTGAATGAAATTTGTTTTATTTTTTCATTATTTTATATAGTATTTTAAAATTGATTTAACATTGTTTTTTAATATTTATAAATAAAAAAATTCATATAAAACATTAAAATTTAGTGTTATATTTAATTTGATTCTCAATGAAAAGAGACAATAGATATCAATAGAGATATTGTAGTAATGAGCTTTATGTTGAATTAATTATTGGCTCCCATCTGTATTCAATTTGCAAATCGTACATTCTCTGTCAGATGAACAATGCTGTTTCAAAATTGATTAAAAGTGATTTTATCTCTCCTGACACTTAGAACTTTTCAGTTAAAATTTGTATATGATATTATAAGTTGTTTATGAAATTAATTTTCAGAAATGTGACAAAGATGATGATGAAATGGATCTAAATAAGGAACTTTATTCTATTGGTCATTATATTAATAATAAAGAAGAATTGGTAAACCAGTTATTTAGTGTTATCAAAAGCAATGATTTAAAAGCACTTTTGCCACCATGTTTAAAGGTGAGTTTTATATAGAGTGATATTTTTTAAAGTATATTCAGTAAATTTTGTAAGCAGTAATTTTAATTAATTATTATTTTTATTTAAATATTATTTAAACTTAGAGAATTTAATATAAAATACATTTTAAATATTGATTTATTTTTACTTATATGCTTGTTAATAGATAAATTTTTAATTCATTGCATTACATATTTTTTATTTATAGGATTGATAAATTAGTTTATTTTTTAAATTTTGAACTCTAATACAATAATTATTGTGTGAGAATTTACTTTTAAGGTGTATTTTTATGTAAAGTTTTTTGTTATATTACATAATATTAGTCTAATTCATTTGTTTATTTATTTAAAATTTGATTTTGATAATGCATCCCAAAAAAAATGAGTGTTTTTACAAAAGTTATTTAGATAATATTGTATAGTTGACTTTTTCTACTTATTTATTAATTTTTTGAGAACTAGATTTATTCAAATTATTTATGTAGACTTGTGATGACATATAAAAGTTTTTTTTAGCTTGATTTAAGTTGGAATAAATTGCTTTGATATGTGATTTTCAACATAGCTTCATTATATTTATTATTCATGTTAACCAAGTATATACAATATTTTTTTTAATTGTTCCAATGGTAACAAAAAAGTAAGCAAACAAAAATCTAATCAAATACAAAAAGGAAAGTAATTTTAAAATGATTTAAAAAACACTGTCTATGATCAAGTTAGAATTTTATTTTTATTATTATTGAACCAATTAAACAGTAAAGAAAAAAANTGATCGGGAGCATTAAAAAGATGTCGTCTACAGATCGTTTTAAAATTCTTTCAAACTTAAAATATCTGAAATTATTATTATTTTTTGAAAAATATTAGGAATTTCGAGCGTTTGTTTCAGAAAGTAAAAGATTAAGAAGTAAAAGTCGAGAGTTTCAGAACGGTGTATGATGGTGACCTACCTTAAGTTAATTATATTCATCCAATATGTGAAGGCTTGTCGCTCTCTTGTATTATAATTATTTTACACAAAAGATAAATTTAGCCGCGTTTTGCTTCTTTACGGTTGATAAGACTATAGTCTGTAGACTATCGCATCTCTAGAATCGAACGACCACTTACAGTAAGTTATTACTGATATTAGAAACCTTCTTAATTAATTATTAATTGCATTATGACTCGATGGTTTATGATAAACGATATTTTGAAATTATAGTAATTTATCATGTAGGGCCGAAATGTTTTTCGGATATCAACCGGCGGCACGACAAACCAATATAATAATTTATTTTTCCAATAAACTCGATGGAACGCTTATAGTTTAACTATTATTTTACAATGCAGCTTTTCCGAGAAATTTCCACCTTAACTTTTAAAATATTAAAGTTTTTCGGACTTAATACCCCCTCTCTGCCCTTTTTTTGTTTATGAATGTGGTTTTCTTGGAAAAAATTGATTGGTAGCGCGACCGAAATTCCAATCAATAGCAAAAGGCAATTTATTTTAAAGTAATTTAGTATTCTAATTTTACAACTAGCGGTCAAATTGCAATTAAATCACGAAACGGTCGATTTGAAATCATTACCGTTAGTACCCATTTTGCCACTAAACGGAAAAAATTATAATGGCAATCGCTATTTATTTTGGATTGATGACCGTATAAAAAAAAGATTAATTCAATGTTTTTGTAATAGTAATAAATGCGTTTTATGTGATTTGCAATTATTAGTTAAGTCTATCTACTTAGACTAAATGATACTAATCCTTGATCGATTAGCCTGCGGCTGCCAGAGCGCTTTGAATGAGTAAGGCGCGTGCCTTTAAATGATGTGGTAGATCGTGCCACTGACCTCCTGTTAGACTGTTGCGTGACCTTCTGTATTTGTGCGCGCTTCCACTCCTTCCCCGGTATGTATATCGAGAGTGCACTGTTTGGGCTTCTGGGTTTCGAAGACAAGGCGTAGTACCACACGCGAACAAATTCCCCACCCCTTTACGTCTCACCCCATTGGTTAACTCTCGCGTGACGTAACGAGCTACTTCCGTCACGCAGTCGACTTATCGTAATCAACGTTGTTGTTTTGATGGAGTGAAAAGGTCGGGCACGCATTACCTTGTTTACTCGCCCAATAGTCATCTATCCTATAGCAATAATAAGATAAGTGGGCCTTCGCTGTAAAATAAGAAAACGATTAAAACAATATTTACAATTGATTTAATTAGGTTTATGTTGTCAGGATTATTGATCATTTCGTTCTCTCTCTTACTCGAGATCCGTTAATCGGAAGCATTTCGAACGGTTCCGGATGCGTGCCGAATTATGTACTTTCCGTTGTTTGTCTCGCACTGAAACCCAAGTGAAAAAATCGTCTTAGAGTTTAAGTCAACTTACGAAGGAAAATAAACAAATGTCATTTTTAAACTGTTATTGTTTTTAGCTTTACGAACTATAAATAATATGTGAACTAGGCTTATGAAACTATTGCAAATTAATCATTCAATGTTTTCAATAATAATCGTGCTATCGAAGTAAATTAAAATTCTTTATCGTAATAAATCAATTTTGAATAAATTTTAAGTGCTATAAATCTTTCCGCATAAGAATTCCTTCTGTTGTTATCATGGATTTTAAGTTTGTGAAAGCTTTATAGAATAAACGGTTCTAGAAACAATAGAATATTTTCAAAATATGTTTGTAAAAAATAAATATCGTTTTTATAATCTGTCCTTAAGTCTGGCTATTTTGAATCAAATAATTGCAAATTTTTATTTCATAAGCGTAGAAAACTGAATCTCTAGAGAAGGAAATAGAAAAAGCCAATTTTTAAAATATATCTTTAATATTTTAATGATCAATAACTTTAATTATACGTTAGTTTGATTTTAGTTTATTTTGAATTGACATATTTCTAGGATAATAATACTGAATTTAACAGAAGAATTAGCATGTAATAACTTTAGATAAGTTTATATAATGTTCATACAGTGCTTAGATCTATTTATAGTCCTAAATTCGATATCATATGTCTGCAGGAAATTTTAATCCATGGTTTATGTAAAAGAAACTTAAGTTTTGCTATTCGTTTACATAAGCGCATGCTTTAGAATTTTCTTAAATTTATTATTATTTTTGAAGGTATTCAACTCGACTAGTTTACCAGTGAATCTTAAGAATATATATGAAAGATTTTTAAAGTAAAACTTATCTTAATACTATTTTATATCTAATTATTCCAATTCGTATTTGATATTTGCAAATAAGCAAGCCATTGATCGTATTTAAACAAATTTTTTATTTAAATTATTTAAAAATTTCACACTAATTTTTTTCTGAAATTGTTTTGTAATCACCGGTATACGTGAAGATGTCATATGTGAAGTTGCGAACAGTTGAAAATTTGAACTTAGAAAATTTTAAAATTTATTTAAATTACTATCTTAGACTAAAATAGTGTTTGTAACATAATTTTAATTCATTTTCATAAACATATTTATGAAAATAATTGTATTTAACGATCTCAAAATATCCCTGTCTACTAAAAACAATCGAATAACAAACTGGAATTTCATTATCTCCGTGATGGACAAAGAAAAAGTCAGTGGTTATATAACTTTAATCTGAGATCCAATATTAGAAAAACTTGATATTATTGCAAAACGATTATGAAACTTCACGTTTACTTAAATCAAATAGGTCTATTGTTAAGAAGAAGAACGATTACTTATACGAAATTTTCACTCGAAAATATAACTCGGTAATTATCAGAAATTGTAACTATATTGGTATTTTGATGCGCGGATTAATTAAAATTTCTATTGAATCGATATTTGAAAAGACCAAATTGAAAAATAGCAGGGTAAAAAGCTTGATTGAAACTAAATCAGGATTTATAACAACGTTTTTTTTTTATTTTATCGATTATTTTATCTTAGTTTATGCATTTGGAATTTTCGTCATGTAGTACACATCAATTACAAATACGCTAACAAATCACTATTAGAAGAGAAACATGACAAGTTAGGTTTCTTTTCTCACAATTCTTTTCTCAAACTTACTAATTATCGTTTTCTTATCTCTATTTCTTTTCATTTCGTCGTCATTCATTTTTCTTGTTTTGAAACTTCATTCTCTGTAGTCTGGCGATAAACACGAAACAATATAGCCTAACTGTGTGTGTGTGTGTGCGCGCGCTGGATTTTTTTATTATTTTTTTAAATTCATTTCTGTTCCCCCTTCGTACGGTCGAGACTCTTCCCGCTACAGCTGGCTCTATTAAAACGGGTAATTTAATTAAAATGAAACTAAATCAAAAAGGCGGTAGTGAAATGAATTCTCAGTGCTTTATTACCCTACTCGGAAACACGGAAGCTGGTTATTCTTCCGGCTACGAGACGCCTCCTGCAGTCCACCAGCCTCGGAAAAGAGAAGCGAATGAGTGAGGAGAACGTAAGAAGGGAGAAAAAAAGAGCGAGAGAAGAGAAAGGAAAAAAGCTTTCGCCACAAAATTAAATAACCCGATCGTTTCATTAGCAGAGTCTCGACTCGACACGGGACTGGATCGATATCCACCATTTCGTGGCCACAGTCCGGTGATTTTCGGTAAAAGAAAGTAAAGAAAGACGCTACATTGACTTGTCAAAAGTAAAAAGTCAGCATTTTAAAGAAGTGATCTAACAGATTTAGCTACAAACATATACTGTGTAACTTTCTTTGAATTACGCGTACCTATATATTCCTATATTATTATGTAATTAATGTTTTCCCGGGAATTTTACGGCAAACGCTCTTCTCCGTCCAGTTACAGCCCATTCCTTCAGTTTACGGTTAACTAATGCTAATTTTAAACCGGTGCCAATCCCGACGAAAATCTTTTATCAGTACAAAAGTGTGGCAAGAAAGTAATAAATCCCGAAGTGTCAATTCAAAGATGGCGATGGATATGTTTGAATTTCGTGCCACTAGAGGGCAGGGCTACCAGGTCGGTCCTGGTAGGTTTTAGGTTATGATTAGGGCTAAAGTTC